TTTAGTATGAGATCACTGAGAAAATAAAAAAATCATTATTATTATATTTAATATAATTATTAATATTTGTCTAAATTATCGTCTATAATTTTTTTTAATTTGATTTTATTTTTATCTATGTTATTATTGGAAAATAAAATGTTTTTCCAATCTGAACTCCATAATTGTTGAAATAATTGTAAATTTAAAATATTCATCAATATCATACCAAAAAAAGCAATTCTCCAATTTCTTAAACTATCAAATAAACCATATTCATTCCAAACTCTAACTAATAAATACATATGTAATAATATCCTCGTAAAAATAAATGATAATAATAATAATAATGAGTTCAATTTGTAAATAAAAGTAACTTTTGTTTTATAGGCTGTCAAGTAAAGTTTACGTTGATGTAGGAAAATATTACCAATTTCTACCAACAGTGTTGCTGTTAAATATGGAAAATATTTACAACTCAAGGTGGATGAAATAAATACTGCTGTTACTAAAATATGATGAAACCAAATTCCAGGTGAATCCATAAATATATTTTTTATTAAAAAATCAAACATATCCGCAAAAAAGTATCCTAAAGCAGTAATATGTTCATTAAAATTAGTATTAGTATTAACAATAATAATCTAAAGATATCCGAGCAGGGATTGACCGAAAGAATGAAATTTTTTACCAGTTGATAAAGCTATTTGAAGTGCACATAATTTTGCCTTTGAATAAATCATATCATTCCATATTTCAGGATAATAAATAAAACTATTATAAATAATTCAATTAATTATTATTTCTTCTGCTTCTTAATAATAATAACGATCTAAATCATCTAATTGTTAATGTTATTACCACAGGGTAGTTAATATAGAACAAATCCATGCATGAATATAACTAACAAATGTATTATTCCAAATTGATTGTTTTCTTTTATCTAATTTATTATAGAAATTCTGTAAAAGAAAAAAAAATTTTATAATTAATTTTTAATTTTTAAAAATTTTTTTTTTTTTTAGATTATAAACATTATTTATTACTTAACTGTAAAGTTCGAAGCACATATTGTTGTTAAATAATTCAGTAAAGTGAATCCAATAAATGAATAAATTGAAATGTTTATAGAATCATTTATACAACTTTCTTCTATTTGATAAAACGGTTTTTTCTCTTTCTTCTCTAATCAATTTTTCTAATTCAGGTACAACTGCAGTATTTGTGATCTTCCATAAATCACAAAAATCCTTTGCTAAATCAGCAGGATCATCATTAACATGAACATAAATGGTTTGTGAGCAATCTTTCTCAAGTTCAACATTAATTGTTAGTAAACGTTCACCACGTTCATGTTTATCAACACGCCTTGGTGTCTTTTCTACTGCTGGGCTATCATCAATTTCAACTTCATCATCAGTAGGCGGTGGTGAAGATGATGGCGAGGATGGTAGCGGTGATGATGATTGATTCCAATATGGAGTTGAATCAAATTCTGGAGGAATAAAAGGTATATTATAATTGTTTTGATGTGATTTATTTTTTGCAGGTTTTGAAGCTGGTTTGTTGTTTTGGTCAGATTGTGAATCTTTGATAGCAGGTTTTGTTTTTGTTTTTGACTTTGGTTTTGTGCTTGAACTAATACCATTATTGTTGTTATTGTTATCGTTTGCTTTAGATTTTAAAGTGTCTTGATTTGTATCATTTTGCTTTGGCTTGGTCTTCCAATTAGAAGAATCTTGTGATTTTTTTGATTGATGATGATTATTTTTTTGATATGAAGTATTGCTGTGATGATTATTGTG